CAACGAAACACGCCATTGCAGGGGCATGTCCGTATTGATACGGCGATTTCGACAAGAAAACAAAAACAATGATGCCAATCCAATTGTAAACACTTTACTTCTTTTTAATGCTATAAATGCTGACGAACCCTTGTTTTTTGGTACTATTTCTTTTGGTAACAAATAACAATTACCAATTTACCATTCACCAAACATATGATTTGTGTGTGGTGTCCAAATTTTTTTAATTTATGTGTGGTGTTCAAATTTTAATTTGTTTGGTAACTTTTTAAAAGCATGTTGTTTTTTTTTTTCGCCATGTTGTTGTTTTTTTTGTTGTCATGAATTGCATTTCGACCACAAACCAATCCAAATAAGACGGTTATAGTGCGATCTTTTTTCCAAAATCCAGATTCTTTTTCAAATAAATATTAGAGATTAATTCAATTTTTATTTAATAAACTATTTCTAGCTCTAAAATATACTAAAAACTAAAAAAACACAAATAACTATATAATCTGTATCGTATTTTTTATTGTGATTATCATTTATTTTTGTGTTGCTTATTATATTCAGGGTCGGCCCAATACTATGGGCTGCCTAAAACCAATTTTTTTTTTTTGCACATAAGTAATAAAAATATAGCAAAATATTGTTTGGGAGGCTCGAATCTGGATAGTGAGAAAGGGTAAAACCCGAAATAGCCATTGTGCTTTACGTCAGGGCCGGCCCTGCTTATATTATACTCCTCTGTTTCAAAATATATGATGTTTGGGTAAAAACACAAAGTTAAAGAAGGTAATCAATATTTATTTTGTTTTGTATCTTTACATTAAAAACATAACAAAATATCTACATATGGTCAATGATAAATTTTAATGCAGAATATTAATAGTAAAAAAATGAATTTATTTTTTGGCATACAAACTTGTATTCTTTTCTAAAATATCATATAATATAAAAGAGAGAGAGTATCATTTGTTTGGCATATTTTTTTAATCCATATTAACCACAATTGTTTGGGTTTGTTCCATTTGCTTGTTCTACATCTAGACTGACAATTGTTTAATTCCGATACATAGGGTCCGAATGGTAACCGCGGTTTTTATTGTGCGGAGAAAGCGGTATAACAGTGCGGTACGGTTCAACTGCGGTACGTGCGGTATGCGGAACAGATGCGGTTTTTGTAAATAAGCGGTGCGAAATAATGTTTGATTGGTAAAAAACAAAAAGCGGTGCGGGATATACATTGTAGTTAAATAATTTTAATTAAACATTCAAATATATATATATATATATATATATATTAAATAAAAAATTTCATAATAAACAATATGATACAACAGAAAAATATTTTCGAATATTTTAATTTTTCTATAACATATTTGTATTATTAATTTTCGAATATTTTTTAACTAATTATTTAAATACATGTGGTTTTTCATAAATATTTTAAGTATTTAAACATAATTTAAATAAATATGGTGATACAAATACATATTATATATCATATATTTGAAAAAAACAATAGGACAAAGAAATAAAACAAACCAAAATAACATGTATAATTAAATAAATGGTTAATACAAGTTCTATTTTTTAAATTACACATATCTCTATAGACTGTAGATACCACATAACGCAAACACATCAAATAGGATGTGAATTTACTGTAGCGGGCCAACTACAATTTTTACAAACAAAATTGAACCGCACTCACAACCCAAAAAATAAAAAGAAACGTCCCGCACTTGTAATATTTTGTTGATTGGTAACATATCAATGGGTCCCATGAAAAACGTCCCGCAGTTCTGAAATCCGCCGTCTCCATTCACCCCCATAAAATAGAAAAAAAGACAACACAAAGGGAGCCAAACGACAACGTTTGGTGTATATATTCGAAAGTTCCATAAATGCCCCTAACCATCGTTTTCTTATTACGAAACCGCTTTTGTAATTTTCAGTTTTGTAAGAAAACCAAAAACAAAAGAAATTATTTTTTTTCTTGGAAGGAACAGAGAAATGGTTTCGGACTCGGACCTCGTGACCCAGCTCCGGGAAATTCTCCGTAGCTCCGACCTAGAAACAACGACTCCGGCGAGCGTTCGCCGTCAGCTGGAGGCGTATTTCGGCGTCGAATTAACCGACAAGAAAGCTTTCGTCAGGGAACAAATCGATGCTTTTCTTGAAAGTGAAGCTTTGTTGGAAACCAAACCGGAGGAAGAAGAAGAAGAAGATAATGAAGACTGTAATGGTGATCAAAACGATGAAGAAGGAAGTGAAAACGATGATGATAAGACCGAACCGTAAGTTTATCTCTTCCTTTTGGAACTGACTGTTTTGTTCCAATACTGATTTATTCTGGTTGATTTTGGAAAAATGGTGTATGTCCTCTATGAATTAATCTTCGAAACATTGGATATAGCTAATACAATGAATCAAAGGTTGGGGACTTTTAGTTTCTCATGGATTTTGATGCATTCTTCTGTCTGATGATTGTTTAGAAGAGAGTTGTGTTGTTTCTTGTGATTGGTTTTAGATGGAAAGATGCCAAATTTGTGATTATGTTATGTTTTTTATGTAATAGACCGGTAAAGGCTAAGAAACGTGGAGGTGGGTTTAACAAAATATGTCAGCTTTCTCCACAACTAGAGAAGTTTTTAGGAACTTCTCAATTGGCTCGAACAGAGGTATAGTTTTCCATTTCTTTTTAATTTCGTTTTTCCTTTGATGGTTTTGTGGGGGAGAAAAGCTTATGATGACATTTTGCATATATAACAGGTTGTGAAGAAAATGTGGGCATATATCAGAGAGCACGATTTGCAAGATCCAAAGAATAGGCGGAATATATTATGCGACGAGTCGCTTCATTCGTTATTTCGTGTAAAAACAATTGATATGTTTCAAATGAACAAGGCATTGGCAAAGCATATTTGGCCGCTAAATGATGGAGATGGTATTTTTTTCCTTGTTATTTCACTAGATGTAGGTGGTGGCATCTCGATAAGGTGTTGATAGTTCTTGTGGTTTATTAATATAGGGTTTGTTAAGAATGTGAAAGAGGAAGATGAAGATGAGACATCAGGGGAAAGAGATGAGAAAGAGGTAAAAATCGAAGAAGCGGTGGAGAATAATGAAGAAGTAAGTGGAGAAGAGGAAGATCGTAGTGTCCGAAAACGCAAACGCAAGAAAAGAAAGTTAGTTCTTTCTTTCTCTTAATTTTGTGTGTTTGTATGGTTAGATAGTTTAAGGTCCAGAGAAACTAAGCCCGCTGTATCGAATTAGACCAGCCAAGCCCGAGGAGAAACCGAAGAAAAAAGGAGGCGGCTTTACCAAAGTTTGCAGTCTTTCACCAGAACTTCAGGCTTTTACTGGAACGGCTCAGTTAGCTAGAACAGAGGTACATGACTGACCTATAGTGACTTAGTTCCTTAATGCTTCTTGGAAGTTTACAGAACTTCTGGATGTGTGATATTTCATCTGTTGAATGATTGGTTTTCAGGTTGTGAGAATGCTTTGGAAATACATAAAAGAGAACAATTTGCAAGATCCATCAGATAAACGCACAATAATATGCGACGAATCATTACGGTCTCTGTTCCCTGTTGAGTCTATCAATATGTTTCAAATGAACAAACAACTAGCCAAGCACATTTGGCCTCTAGTACAGGAGGATGAAGGTATTTGATGATTGAAACGTGTTCTATCATTTTTCCTGAAGTAGTCATCGCTTTTCAATATCCCTGAGACATGTGTTTATGTGCATACAACATCCTTGTTACAACTGTGGATCAAAAGGTCTTGAATGTTTGTGCTTGGTAAGGTTGAAATTTTTGTTACCTTTTCTTTGATTAGTCTTGTGCTCTAAATGTTCACTCTTTTTCATGATTCATTTGGTCAACTATATCGCCTCTTCTACCGATAGGCTTCTGATAGAAAACGTTTGTCTTTCTTTGCATACAGCACTAATTTTTGTGCCGTCTTTTTCTCGAGCAGGAACAACTAATGATCCAGAGAAGGGAAAGCAGAAAATGAAAATGGAGATAGACGAAGGTACATACATACATTTTCTTAATCTATTCATGTAACTTAGTCAAAGGTGAATATAAAATCATCCACCTTGTTAAACTATGTAGATAATGATGAAGCAAATGAAGAAAACGCTACTTCATCAAGAATCAAGACTGAACAATGATTCGAGTGAGAAGCTGGAACTGAAAGAATCTTTGAAGTTGTTTTTTTCTGAGGCGACTCAGACTCGGTCTCAAAGCTTCTAACTAACCACTTCATCAAGACTGAACAATGATTCTGTCATTCGAAGGGGCCAATTTTGGTAAGTATTTCATATAGTCGAGCCCCAGATTTAACTGATGTTTAACTAAGCGTTTGTTCACTCTTGGTATATAACTATATATATAGTGACAAAACTGGACCTGACCACAGCTAGTTTGGACTTTTGACTAATCAGACTTTAAACTTAAGAAAAAGTGATGTGGTAACATGTTTCAACTTAGCTATCAAAATTTTCAGATATAGCACAATGATGCTATTAGAGAAACAGAATTTGGTCTTGATATCAAAATACCACAGTGGCTTTTTATGTGTTTTTTCACTCAGAACTTGAATTTCAATAATTCTAGCTCAGTTATCTTTACCTTAAGAAGTTAACCAATCCTCTGTTTTTACAATCTTACGCAATAGAGTTTGGTCATGATCTTAAAAAGCCACAAGGTGTGTGTTCTAAACGCAAACATAAAGTCCAAAACTCTGACACAATTATCATTCATATGATGAGACATCAACAAAATTTATCTTTCTTTAAATCTTCTCGAGATTCATACATTTATATCTTTAAATCTATCTTGGGGACCAAGTGTAAATATGAAAGTATGAAACCTAAAACGATTTAAGTATTTAACAAGCATATTTCCTTATTTTTGTATTATTAGAGGCTAAGTAAGAAACTTTACATTATTTTGGTGCTACTATTAGATATACATACAACTCAATAAAGTTTACTTTCTCTGTAAGATTATCATCATGAGGCATCGTTACACTCTGGTTCTGTCTGCAATGCGGCTGATACGACCGTCCAACCGCCGCCATCTAACTTCGATCGCAAGCCCCGACTCTGAGTTCATTTCATATATGAACAATAAGGCTAAGTCCATCAATAAAGCACTAGACGATTCTGTTCCTCTTTGCAACAATTCTGTTCCTCTTTGGGAGCCAGTACTCGAGGTTCGCGAAGCTATGAGGTACACGCTTCTCTCAGGCGGCAAACGAGTAAGGCCAATGCTCTGTTTGGTTGCTAGCGAGCTCGTAGGTGGCCAAGAGTCAACCGCAATGCCTGCAGCCTGTGCGGTTGAGATGATTCACGCTTCGTCACTTATCCTAGACGACCTTCCTTGTATGGATGATGACAGCCTCCGCCGTGGAAAACCCACCAACCATATAGTCTTTGGCGAGAAAACATCCATCTTGGCAGCTAATGCTCTCATGTCTTTAGCCGTCGAGCAGACGTTGGCATCGACCTCCTTGGGGGTGCCTGCAGAGAGGGTTCTTCGAGCTGTTCAGGAGATGGCGAGAGCTGTTGGGACAGAGGGACTTGTGGCGGGCCAAGCAGCGGATTTGGCTGGAGAAAAGATGAGTTTTGAGAACGAAGACGAGGGATTGAGATATCTTGAGTTTATACATATTCATAAAACCGCGGTTTTGGTTGAAGCTGCGGCTGTTGTGGGAGCTATAATGGGAGGTGGGTCCGATGAAGAGATTGAGAGGCTTAAGAGCTACGCGAGGTGCGTTGGATTGATGTTTCAGGTGGTGGATGATGTGCTCGATGAGACCAAGTCGTCCGAGGAGCTTGGGAAAACTGCTGGAAAAGATTTGATCACCGGAAAGCTTACTTATCCGAAGGTGATGGGTGTGGAGAATGCGAGAGAATATGCAAAGAGGTTGAACAGAGAAGCACAGGAACATCTTCAGGGGTTTGATTCTGACAAGGTGGTTCCTTTGTTGTCTCTCGCTGATTATATTGTCAAGAGACAAAACTGACTGTTACTCCATAGCTTTAATGACAAATCAATGAAAAAAGCATCGAAGTGTATGAAAATGCAAAACGAGAAAGCTTAAGGCAATGAAGAAAAAAACATGTTTCAACTTGGCTAACCAAAATTTGCATAAATATTACAATGGTTCTATATGAAAGAGAGTTTTGGTCCATAATCTTAAAACACAACAATGTGTTTTGTGTTGTAAACTCAAAATTTGAAGTTAAAAACTCTCACACAATTATCATCCCCACAAGAAGTTAATGTTAGCAAGCGCTGATTAGACTCGCACTTCTCAGTTGGTCTCCAAGCTAACCGGTTCACGGCCGAGACATGACACATGAATGGTTCCAGCCGCAGAGCAAGAGCTACTGTTGCAGTCGTACCTTCCTCTTTTTCTATAATATTTATGTTCCACAGCTCTATCAGTCCGCTTTCCATCCCAACCGCCACGCACCCGCTCTTATCCTTGTGGTCTAGTCCCGTCCAAGCCACAGCTGTGACACTGCTCCCAAACTGAGGCAAGGCAAGAATCTGTTTGATGCGCGCGTCATTCTCAATGGACCAGATCTTCACAGTCTTGTCCCTTGATGAAGTTGCAAATTGGTGGCCAAACGGGTTCCATGAGCATGCCCATATGATCCTCTTGTGTGCTTCAACCTTTGCCATGAGTTTGTGACTAACATCGCCATTGTCTGAACAGAAGCAAAAAAACAGACGAGTTAGAGACGCTCAAAATGTAGACACTTTTGGATGTTTTGAGAAAATCTGATTTTGAACTGTGAAGTTGAAATCGCTTGAGTTACCTGTCCTTTGGATCGAGAAAACGGAGAAGTGACGATCTCTTGAGACAGACAAGAGTAGAGTGTCATCATAAGAGAACTCCAAGTGTGTCACTGTCAAGCTGTGAGATTGCAGACGACCAACAGCTTTCCATGTCCCAACCTCCCATAGCCATATCTCCGCCATGGATGCCGATTGAGCCTGAAGAAGTTTGAGGTTCATTTATATATCTAATTTAGTAATAGAGTCCTGCTCGGTTAGATCTAAATCGAGGAGATTGAACAAATGTAAATAAATATCCGAAATCTGCCTTAGCTTACCTTACACGATGAAGCAACAAGGTTTCCCTTGTGGTCACAGCAGAGAGAAAATAGTTCATTACCATGACCATAGAGTTTATGAGACTCCGGCCATAAAGTATGAAACGCAAGCTGATCTTCGATTGGAGGCTCTTTCAACTCCGCTGGAGCCGCCTCTGGAACTGTCTCAAATGTATCCATACCTTCTACTCCGCCATTTCTCTCCAGCGGTTCACTCGAAGCTGCAAAAAGAAATTAGTATGAATCTCAAGATTGCTTTTGGTAAAAAGCTAGAAATGGTGTTGAATCAATCAAGTACTCACAGTGTAAGTAGATAGGTTTCTGTGATAAACCAAGAGCAGACATATTCGCTCCAAGAACCTGCACATCTGCTTGTAAATCCTCAGGGAAGCTTCCTTCTCCTCCCGCACAAGTGTGGTTCAGAGTCTTCAAGAACGACAGAGGAGCCTCAAACACTCTCACAACTTTCTCCTCTGCTCCACTAACAAAACGGTGGTTGCCTTTACCTTGAACCATAGCCACACAGTTAATGTCATGCCCATGAACCTGAGGACGAGCCAGTTCATGCCAATGCTCATCCTCTGCTTCATTCCCCTCATCATTCTTCCACGATGAGAACACACGAGTGGTCTGCAAAAAATGCGAATTCGGAGTATGAAATGTCAGAAAAGTGACATTTGGCAATTTAATATAATGCTCAACACTAAACCCTGACCTGATCGTGACTCACAGATAGCAAGTACTCGCCAGTTCTAGCCCATGTGACATCAGTCACGGCAGCAAAGTGGCCCGACGGGACTTTCTGCATCTGCCAATTCTCAGACTCTTTGCTGCTACTGACATTTCTCCAGAGATGAAATGATCCGCCGTATCCATGAGCCAGAATCGACTGACCATTTGGGCTCCAATGGCCGCCGTAGAAACCAAGAGCACAATGACTTAGCTCTCCAACACATACAACGTTCACCCACACACCTGTTTTCTTCTCAGGTCGCCAAATCATCATTGTTTTGTCCATTGAAGCCGATAAAATGCTCAGCGGTTGGTGGTTTATTAACCGCCCATCAATGGAATCGATGACTGGAGGTTGCCATTCCACGGAATAGACCCAATCTTCATGTCCAATCAAAACAGATTCGACTGAAATCTGATATGTGAAAGTCCCTGAGACGAAAACCGGTCCTTCAATGTAAGAAGCTAGACTAATTTCTCTTCGCCAGGAGCCAACATCACCAACTAACACGAGTTTCCAGATCCGAATAACTTTGTCCTGGGAAGAACTCACAAGCATGATACTATTGGCGGTTTCTTCTGTTGTGTGTAATGGTAATGAGAAGTCCAAACTCCGAATCCAGTCCGTGTGGCCTTTAAGCTCACAAACAGAAGTAAACTGAAAAAGGATGCAACAAAAAAACTCTCACAATTGATTTTTTTTTTTTTTTTTGAGAATATATTGGCACAAAAGCGAATCGGGAAGCACCTTTCCTGTTCTTTCCCCACAGTAAAGTTTGATTTTATTGTCCAATCCGCCCAACGCGAGGGCAAATTGACCAGGATTTTGAGGCAATTCTGCTAATGAAAGTGTTACAATTGCTTTAGTGTCAACACAGATAGAGTCCAGACACACCACTTTACATTCCTCTGCAACAGATAACACAGGACGAAGAAATTCGATTTAGATACTGCTTAGAAGACATACTTCACCTTGTTTAACCGGTAATATACTGCAGGAACGTTAATACTTACCACTAGACTGAGACGGGAAAGAAACATCCCAGACATTCACAACTCCATCAGAAGAAGCAGAAGCAAATATTGCATCGGTTTCAGAAACCATATAAGCGGTGATACAAGTGACACCTTTCTTGTGAGACGGTGGTAGTTGTAGCACATGTCTCCACTGTTGCTAAACCAAAGATAAAACATACTACGAATCAGAGATAACAGAGAAACAGTAAAAAACTCAGATCAGACCAAGATTGAGGGAATTTTACATTGTTATTAAGAGTAGATAGTTCCCAGAGGATAATGATACCATCTGAATCACCTGATAGCAGATAATGCCGGTCCAAATTCTTGGCTGCAAACAATTATAAGAATACTTAGGGAGATACAAATACCATTAACCTTTCACAGCAACTAAACCACCAAACCGTGGATAGAGACTATAAATAGAAATTTGAATGCCTACGTCTTCTCAATATACTAAAGATAATATTGATAACTATAACTCACAAATTCTTCAGTCTTAAGTCATCTATCTTATACAACATCGAAAGTCTCTTCCTTTTGCAATGCCTATGCGATTCAACATACTAAAGCTCTCTAAATCGATAGCAAAAGAAGTTCCCATAACTCAAACGATTCCTACCTTTGAAAGCAAACTTGGAAGAGGGTAACCAATGAGTGCAATTCACAGAAGCTTTATGACCTGGAAGCGTTGTAAGAATCTGGGCAGTCTGAGAAAAAACATATCAAACAAAGACACAAAACACGAAAAATCAAATCTTTGCTTTTGGAAGGATTTTGAAAGAGGGAGAGAGGAGAGTGAAACAAACAGACCTTAGGACAGAAAACAGCAACGGCGTTTTGGGCACCGAAAGAGACAAGACCAGAAGCTCCCCAAGAAACGTTATTGACGACTCTGTTGCATCCTGCTCCTATGAACACTCTCTTCGCTTCGACTTTTGAGTTTTCTGATGACATCTTTTATCAAAAGGAGACCTTTTTATTACGAAGTTTATCTCCTTCGATCTTGCTGGTACAAACCAGTAATATCTAGCCGCCGCCGGGAAAACTCGCCGGGAATTAGTAATTCTGAATATACAAGGAAAACTGAAAAGGGTGAGCAAGAGGAGAAAGAAAGGTTAGAAAAGAGGGAATATTAAATGGGCCGACATATTTTATTGGTCCAATTGGCCCCAAATCATCCAATTCATTTATGGTTGAATTTATGGACTTCAATATCTCCTATATATTCACTTGCAACATTGATATGTGTACATGTACATCTCATTAGGGATTGAAGCCGGCCTACAGTTTTGTGATGCCTAAAACCCATAAAATTTTGGTGACCATTTTTACTTAAAAGAATCTTACAAAAATGGTTATAATTTTGGAATTCAAGACTCAAACTCACCACCTTTTCTTAACTAAAATGAGGACTACCATTGCACCATAAGACATGATTGGAAATATGATGCTCCTAAGCTTATAATATATTATGATGCCTAAAGCACCAGCCTGAGGTCTCGGCCGACCATATTTCATTATTCAAAAAAAATTACAATGTGTGTGATTATCGCCTAAAGATGTTAAGATTACAACTCTAATCTCTTCTTATTAATCTAACCAAACACCGATTATACCAAAAAACCATGTATCCTAACTGATATCTAGATTGGCACTTTGTAGAATCTCAATCAGCTTCAACGATCTCATGGCGATCGTAGCCAACATACTCAAATCGTTTGGTTTACAATATTCATCCAACATATGAATCAAGAACAACAAATGAGACATATTTATACTTCTAATTTCTATGTAATAGTAAATCCTCACATGCCTCAAATATTTTTTAGATCTAAACTATATTTACATGTAAATAATTTTCAAATTATTATTTTTTACATTTATAAATTTCTATGTTCATGAAATATTTAAATTTAAAAAAAACTTACAAAAAAAACACAATTAGAAAAATACTTTATATTTGTAGAAAATAAAAACTTACATACTAGAATTAAATAATGATAAAAATTTCACTATATATTGAAAATTGCGTCTATCTCTATGTATAAATGTCTATTGACCTATTTCCTCTTTAGATATGCCAAAATTTTGAATACAAGTCATACCACAATTTATATTGCATTCAAAGTTTAACTGCACAAGATTACTATTATCTTTAGATACCAAACTCTAGAGTAGACATTATTTCGTCTTCATACGCATCCAATTGGTGCTACACTGTTGACGTTTGAAGGTTGGGATGGGTGTGACATTTATCGCGGACCGTGCATAAACTGAGCTAAATAAGTAGGGTACATGGCGTATTGATGATTGATTGCCTTAAGGTTAAGTATATTATTATATATTGGACGACATCAAGAGTACTAGAATTTTTTCTATTAAACGAGGAGACCAGAGAAAGGCTCAAAGATGCATCTGGATATATTCGAGACCAAGGTAACCATGACCTTTGTTGGATTTATGTCAGCTTTGATATGGTTAGCGCCTCCAAAAAACTGCATGGATGAGATGAAAACTACACACTATTATGTACATGGTATCTATGTCAAAGCCTTGATCCAAATGATTATAATGGACCTCTCAAACGTCATAATGAAAAGGGTGGTGGTCATCGTTGTTATGAAAACGATCTGGAAAGTACTTTGGCCTACATTCAAAAATTTGGCATCCCAAGAAGAAGAGGACAAGGAGATTTTTGTATATAAGGATAGACGTGTTCTGTGTAAAGAGGATGAACTCCACAAGATTACGGGTACTTTTAAATACCAAACTCTTGAGGAGGCTTTGGTTCGTCTTCGAACACATCCTGTTGGTGCGACACTATTAGGGTTTGAGGGTTGGGATGGAGATCACATTTATCGTGGGCCGTGTAGAAAAGGACTATTTACGAAAAATATGCCTAGTTATATCCATTATTCTATTGACGAAAAAAACACATCACTTTCGTAGAATAGTTAAAAGTTAAAATAATCAAATCAAGCAAATTAATGTGTTTTGTCGAAATATTTGATGAGTAGTCAACTGGATTCTAACTATTAAAATACAAAAGAAAATAAATTATTTCAACATTTGACCAAAGAACAGATATTATGCATAGAGTTGTTACTAATAGAAAAAACAACGAGGGAAGACAAAAAAATTGACATTCTAAAATGTTTTCAATTCATATGTTTTTAGTTACCAAGAAATAACTTGGTATTGAAGAATGATGACTTTGGAATCCTAAGTCATTCTCTAATCGACACGTGTTGGAAATATGTTGGAAGGTGAGCTAGTGAAAATAAAGAAGCCTTACATATTGCTGCCAATCCAGTTTTTCATGAGCGAACGAAGCATATTGAGAGGGATTGTCACTTCATTCGGGATGAAATTCAGGATGGTTCACTGGTTACTGCACATCTTACCACTACAGAGCAACCAACGTATATCTTTACTAAGGCTTTGGGTTCTCAACAATTTGCTTATTTACGGCGCAAGTTGGACATGTATAATCTTCATGCTCCAACTTGAGGGGGAGTATTAGGGAGTTATATGTAAATATAGTATAATGGGAGATATTAAGAAATAGCCAAATAAAACACTCAAATTAACAAAATAGCAGAGAGAAAGTTTTTTGTTGGAAAATAGCCATGGACCCACCTTGTCGGATGATGTGAAATACCAAAACTATCCTTCGTTTGTTGCAAGATCAACGATATGTGAGACAGTTTCGTGAGATTTTTCAAAATAGCATGTAACATTTAAATTTCGCATGTTATATTTAACTAAAAGACATGATATTTTTAAAAACATAGTGAATTTTTAAGAAAAAAACATTGACATGGAAAATTTAATCTGAATAGTAACTTTTTAAAAAGAAATCACATGTAATCTTAAAACAAATCGTGTATTACTAAAAAATAATCATCTTTTTAAAAAAGAAATCACATGTGATCTTAATAAAACACGTGTTTTATTACAAAATAACATGATAAAGACAGATATTCACATGTAATCTTAATAAAACATGTGTATTATTATAAAATAACATGATAACGACAGATATTCACATGTGATCTTAATAAAACACGTGTATTATTACAAAATAACATGATAAAGACAGATATTACACTGAATATAATGTTTTTTTCCGAGAAATACTATGTGTTCTTTATAAATAACATGTAGTACGAGAAAAATACATGATAAAAAGAGATATATTATGCTATCACATGTAATTCGAAAAAAAAGCGTGTTACAAAGGACATATACGTAATTACACAGCTGTTCCGATATGTTAGAGACAGAGTACTGTAGCTCGTGGTTAGTTTGTGAATTCTTTTTGAATCCAAGGTTAGTTTCTATAAATTCTTCCTAGAGTTTTATGTTAATATCCTCAAGTATGTTTAGGCATTCCACACAAAAATATACATCATACTATACTATACATGCACTTCATTTGTTTTTGTTTCATAGTGATAGAATATTTCATAGCCAACACAACTCATTCTTAAATGTTTTCTACATTAAAATAATAAAAATAAATATTGGCTCCAAGCCTCCAACTCGGCATATATGACATATAGTGGAAATATTCTTACAAATAATAGGTACGATTGAATTCAACTTATTCTATAAAATAAGAGAATATACAGTAACTAACTCGTTAAGAATAGTAATTTTGGTCATCTAAATTCAAGTCTCTAAATAGTTACGATTTAAACTAATTTAGTTGAACCCCTAGTATTCATAATATAAATGGCAAAGAACTAAATTATTGATTTTGAAGTAATCCCCAAAAATATACAAAGTAAATTCTTTGATTATGAATCTGTGACTATCCGACAAGACGAATGGAGATGAGAGAAATCGATGTGATCCAACGTAAGGTCCTTACTTCAGTATTTGAGACTGGTGTATATTATGGAATCAAAAAGTTTGTGTATAATAATTTCAAAAATGTAGTATATATTTCGACGACTGGTTTATGGGCAAGATTCTTATTATATCTATGAAAGAGCAAAACGAGAATCTAACCAGCATAATATAAATAATTAGATAGAGATTCGCTTGGCCTTTCCAAAATATTTGTCTCGCGTTCGTAAATTCGAAGAATATATTGGGACACTTTTTTCAACAAAATGTATTTCATAATATTGGTTTGTCAGAGAAAACTATTCTCTGCACATGACATGGTGAGTCAAAAATATGCCTAATTATATCCATTATTCTATTGACGAAAAAAAACATCACTTTCGTAGAATAGTTATAAACTCAATATAATCAAATCAAGCAAATTAATGTGTTTTGTCGAAATATTTGATGAGTATTCATCTGGATTCTAACTTTTAAAATGCAAAAGAAAATAAAAAAAATTTCAACATTTGACCAAAGAACAGATATTATGCGTAGAGATGTTTACTAATAGAAAAAAACAACGAGGGAAGACAAAAAAATTGACATTCTAAAATGTTTTCAATTCATATATTTTTTAGTTACCAAGAAATAACTTGGTCTTGAAGAATAATGACTTTGGAATCCTAAGTCATTCACTAATCGTGTTGGAAATCTGTTGGAAGTTGAGCTAGAGAGCATTTGCAAAAGTTATTCTTTGGACAAAATCTTCAACTTCACAAAAGCTCGAAATCAGAAAGTAGAAAGAAAAAAGGAGGAACAATCACATTTCTTTGTGCCGCTAATCCCATGGTTTTGGTATCTTTGACTTAAGACGCACCACATCTTTGAAATCACGCTTTTAACCGACAATAACCACTCTCTTTTTTCTCGTAAAATTCAAAAAAATTTCCCTAGTCACAAATCATAACCCCAACATAATGAAAAATTTAATAACCCTAACAACGTCGTTATTAATTTTATTGGACCAACCATTTAGTAGGAAACAGAAGAGAGGTGAGTGTAATAACTACTAGTCGTAGTAAGCTATTCAAATCTAATGCTATGATGAGAAAAACAAGTTCACATATGTAATCTTCATTGGTTTAAAATAAATGAAATCTAACTGCATTTGTAATCGAAAATGAGTTTTTACCACCTAAAACAATTATGTTAATACAAATATATATTCCAAGTTATGTTATCTTTTAACAACCGTACAAATTACGTTACGTCATTTATTTTAACAACTAAGATATTTTTTATCATCAAAATTTAAATTGTTGAAGATCTATTTGCACATAAAATTAGATATTAAAATGGTCCAACATTAAATGCAAAAGAAAGAGATGTTTTAAACAACAAAATGATTTCAACAAATTTTTCCATATAAAAAAAACTTATATCCATCTTTTTCTTTCTTGTCTTTTACTAATGTATCAAAAATATATATATATATATATATATATATTTGAATTAAAATTTCACCTTAAAATTACCTTTCTTTAACCTACTAATTCTAAAAAAAAATTGGAGTGTAAAAGGTTAAAAGTATCAATATCTTTGATTCGTAACTTCAAACCGCAGCAGTATCGATGATACCGCTTTAACAGTTACGAATCACAAAAACGATATTAAAAGTGTTATTCTCAACTTTTTGTAATGTTCTTTTGTATCATTCTGATATCGCATACCTTTTTTCTACTTTCTAATAAAAATTGTAACCACTACGTTATCTTACCACCAATCGGACAACAAAATGGAGCTTAAATGTTAAAACATTAAGAAAAATCACGAGTTTGGTATGAGTTAGAGAATGAGTCAACTCACGAGTAAAACTGTAAAAAAAAAACTCGAAAACAAAGCGAGTGGGTGAAATAAGAATTTGAGAGATACGCGACGAAACGAAGAGTTTTCTCATATCTAAAAGAAAAAAAGATAAAAACCCCACAAGACAGAATCTTCTAGCTTTCCTCTTCCTTCAATCAATCTTCTCTCTTCTCTCTTTCTCTCTACCAAAAGATTCCACAAACATTGTCCTCTTTCTAATATATAATCGCTTCTCATAGATCTCACACTCTGATTTGCTTACTATATTACTCTGTTTGTTGTTTTGTATATCCAGAGAGTGGATTGGGATCATGCCAAATTCTGGAAAAGTTTGAGTTTTTAAGATCGAGAAAATATAAAAATGGGTTCTTTGGGTGATGAGCTGAGTTTGGGATCGATCTTTGGGAGAGGAGTTTCGATGAATGTTGTAGCGGTGGAGAAAGTTGATGAACATGTTAAGAAGCTTGAAGAAGAGAAGAGAAAGATCGAAAGTTGTAAACTTGAGCTTCCTCTGTCTTTGCAGATTTTAAACGATGGTTCGTTGTTTTTGATTGATTGATCTCTCCTCTGTTTTCTCTGTTTTTAATCATTTGGTTGCTGAAAGTTTTGTTTTTTTTTTTGTTTTGCAGCGATTTTGTATCTCAAGGATAAGAGGTGTTTAGAGATGGAGACTCAACCATTGTTGAAAGATTTCATCTCTCTTAATCGAGAAGAAGGAGTGATTGAATTGTTGAAGAGAGATGAGCTAATGAGGGAGAAGAAGTTTCAGCAATGGAAAGCTAATGATGATCACATATCTAACACTAGTAAGATCAAGAGCAAGTTTGAGATTGAGGTAATGAAAACTCTGAAATTAAGACAGCATTTTGGAAAGATTGGATGATACTTTTTGAGATGAATTAAGGACTAAGGACTGAGTTTGTTTGATGTAAATGTTGCAGAGAAATGAGGAGAAATCTTCTATGATGTTGATTCCCAAGGTAGAAACTGGTTTAGGCCTCGGTTTAAGTTCGAGTTCGATAAGAAGAAAAGGGATTGTTGCCTCATGTGGTGGATTTACTTCTAACTCTATGCCACAACCACCACCACCACCACCACCAGCAGTACCACAGCAACCAGCATTTCTTCAGCAGCAAGCTTTACGGAAGCAAAGAAGGTGTTGGAATCCAGAGTTGCATCGCCGATTTGTCGATGCATTGCAACAGCTAGGAGGACCGGGAGGTAAAAAATATCTTATTGTGATCATGAGTTTGGTTACTTGATACAGAATGTGTTGTAATCTTTGTCTGTTTTTGTTGTGTTAATAAACAGTGGCAACTCCTAAACAAATTAGAGAACATATGCAAGAAGAAGGCTTAACCAATGATGAAGTCAAGAGTCATTTACAGGTAACTAAAATAAACAAAGTTGACATCTTTGATTCTTTCAATGAATGTTATTAAGAACCTATTTTTCTCTGTTATATGTAGAAATACAGGTTACACATCAGGAAGCCGAATTCGAATGCGGAGAAACAATCAAGAGTTGTTTTAGGGTTTAACTTATGGAATTCATCATCACAAGAGGATGAAGAAACAGGTGAAGGAGGAGAATCATCGAAGAGAAGCAATTCGCAATCGGACTCTCCTCAAGGTCCATTGCAGTTACCTTCTACAACAACTACAACTGGTGGAGATAGTAGCATGGAAGATGTTGAAGATGCTAAGTCTGAGAGCATTCAAATGGAGAGATTGAGATCTCCATAAACCTCAATCCTTTTTCAAGAAACCAAACTCTTGATCACGGTTTTGTTATTTTGGTATTATTACTATTTGTATTAGTAGTGAATGAGATCAATAATTATAGAAAGGTTATAGAGATATATATAGAGAAAAAAAGAGAGCTATAGAGTGAGGATGGTTCAAATTATTTGCAGAGATTGTTATTAGCCTTGTTTTGTGTACGGCTTTTTTGGTTGGGGTTTAAATTTGAGGCATTATTATCCAAGTAATAATTTTGATGTTTGTTTCATAATTTTGTATGTTTACAAAAAGAGCATAATAATAGGAGGGACATAAGCATGTGTTTGGTCATTTATTCAGATTCATATTTAGAGATGCTTTGAATTTATTTTACATAAAGCTTTGAAATTAGATGTTCTTCAACGCTCACCTAATCATTCGGTCGTTCCTTCAATTGACTAAAAGGTCTTAGCTTTGACCGGCAGATACGTACTATAATTTCTTTTCAACATTAGCGAATAAATTAGAAAGTTTTTGGTAATTAATTTGATTTAAATAATATAAAAAATCAACAACAGAAAAGTTTGGGCATTTTGGGTTAATATATGCCTCATGTTAACCAGCCGGCCCACCTCATGTTTCAGCCCAATGCTTTTTTTTTTCCTTTTCATTAGTGATATTTTGAGAGTTTATTTTTAACATGTTAAGTATTTACACCATTTTCAAATTTGCGACATCGATTACAGAGGAAATAAAGAAGACAAAAACCCAAAATTTACAACAAAAACCTACAATTATAACATAAAATACGACAAGAAAAGCACAAGCGATAACAACCAGTAGAGGCTCGGAGAAGAAACACCAATTCCAAACCGCGAAGCTCGGACATTTGCGTGATTGTCTCAGCTCCAAATAATTTTGAGAATTGCCAAAAGAAGAACTAGAATTAAAGTTGCACTTAGTAATTGATCCATTTAAGTCTATCAGATCCTCTATACATAATAAATCTCAAGAAACTGGTTGTCGTTTCCACATTTGAAAAATCTTGACCGGTACATTCTAGTGGATCATATATTGTTTTTGTCTAAATTAGTTTTAGAATATGCCAAAGACTTGCAAGTCTAGAAAATTGTTTGCTCTCTTAATATTTTGGGAAACATCCTTTTTACGACATTTCATGGATTTGAATACATGTTAATGAAACAATGCATGCATGAGAGTATACACCAAATAATATTGAAAGGAGAAACCGAGGAAGATAATGCATACACTGATACACATATAACAAGTCACCACCAAATCCAAATTGTCTTCTTTTTTGGGTGAGAGATTTCATCAGGTTTTGAAAATCTTTAACTTGGGATGAAATTTGAAAGGTTTGAAACTATCGTGAATATATATAAAATATTCAAATTAAAGAAAAAAAAAGTAGAAAAAATGAATGATATTGGAACTGAAAACAACTTAACTTAACTAATGAGTTTTTAGTTTGAAACTACACAAAATGGATACCTTGTACTGTAAAAATATCCGATTTTTTGACAAACTTCATGAAATTGTCCGATAATTTTACCAATATTTTGCCACATAAAAAGACTTGTCTCAATTCGTAAAAATCATATATCATTTTGTCAAACAACGTAACTGCACATGTATATGTTGAAACTTGAAACCATACACCGTCGACACCCATATCTACCACCACCGTAATCGCTTGCTACAATTTCACAGTAATCGTTCACTAAAATTCATAGAATTTCAGTACTTTTGTTGTAGAGAAAAATTTTGAAACGACAAAATATTTTACTACTATATATATAGTGTTATTTAACTGTAATTAATGATAAATTAGGATTTTTTCTCATCTACAATTTACACATGCATATTTCTAACTTTGGACCTAATTTATAACTCAACGACGATATATACTATAGTACAAGCTTATTACTAAACTACAAATTCAAGTCGATAAATTTATGTTTAAAAATATAAACAGGGATGTGACTCTAGCTTGTTTATAATAAATGAGATGCAATGATGGATATGCAGCTACAAGTGGGTTCATAAAATATCACATATCCACTTTAGTTGTGGAAACTGGAAAGTTATGTAAATTCTGGCCAACCAAAGGAAGCAAAGACTTTGGTTCTCAACTCTTCGAGTACACTTCCGAGTAAGCTTCCAACATGGGTAGTGGAACATGTTGCGCAATCCTCTTGATGTCATATAATGGACTAATTTTTAATTTAAAATTTACGTATACATGTTTTTGATAAGTCCAAATTTTATCTGGAAAAAGAATGTTTTTAAAAGTGTAAGAACAAAGTGCGATATTATGTGACAACTAGAACAAAAACAAAAACAAGAACATGTTTAGATGTGACTGGAGGAAGAGGAGGAGGTGGTTCTAATGACAACTCTAGGGTTCGGACAATGTGTGATTTACTGACTACGTTTCCTGGTTATCGTGGATATGCTAATTCGGGTTTACACAATTATGATTGGTCTCAAGCTGTGCAGAACAAACCTCCCAATGAAGGTTTGGGAATGGATTATGAACCAAGAGAGATGAAGTAACAGCAGTTAACGGAGGATGAAGATGGTGCGGTGAGAGAACGAGTTTCTTTTGTCCTATTTTGTTTTAAAGAAGATTTAGATTCCAAGTATAACTCACATTAATTTTCCATCATCTGGCCTGTTCACTATGATTTGGATGGCAATATCCTACCGAGCATAGTGCCAGACGCATGGCTATTGGTTTCCCCAAAAAGACAAAGATCATTCTAAATCGAGAGGGAGTGTCATGATCACAGTTGAATTCTCCTTCCTTTATCAATTAGATATCGAGTAAAATATGTTCCACAATCCATATGAAGGTGAATACCATCTCTGGGGTCAATAACAAATCTACCTTTCGGTAATACCGACCTTTAAAAATCATTGCATGTAAGAACTCATTCACATGAATTATACGTCATTTTGCAATTGTTTGGCTAATGTACATATGGTATAGTTAAACTCCAAAGTAGTTTAAAAACCCAACCCATCCGCAACTCTTATAGAGCTTTAGTTTGTGCCAGGACATCTAACGAAATCCTTGTTTATATGTATTAAAAATCCACCAAAATTTGGCGATAACACTTGTGATCTTTTTAGTTATAGTATGAAGAAGTTGGAAACAAGACATAACATATGTATGCAGGCCGTGCCTATATAGAGAAAATAGAAACATTGGCCTACAACCCTTTCATAAAAAAAATATTAACCATTTGAACTTTTGTTTTTATAGTAATTGCAAACATAGTGGTTTAATGCTTTTTGTTTATTATAAGCCAAGGTTTTAAAAACAAAGATAAAGAAAACAAGACTACGTTTTGAAATATTAATTATGACTTATGATTACAAACTAAATTATAACTTGTAAAAGAGACTATAATTATATTTTGGGTTTTCTTACTCAATTTTTTGTGGGATGATGATGATGATTAGTATTTTATAAACTTTGTTTTATATATATCTAAGTAGAGTTTGGTTTTGGGGCAAATTAATCCTAAATCTTTCCAAAAAAAATTGTCTAATATGTACCTGTAGAGGGACTATTATTCAAATTAAGGAGGGCTATTAACCCTCTTTGGTCTTATAGATTATTAAAGAAAGAAAAATGTTTTATATGAGTTAGAGTTTTTTTTTTAAACACCGTCTCTGGTCTCCGTAACCTTAGGCACAGCTCTGGATGTAGAGCGAGAGCAACAAATTTCATCAAAACCTACTTTTCTATTTTGGAGACAAATTTGGCTCATCATCATCTGTTAATTTGGCCTTTGAAGTGTTTCTACTTTCTAAAATATAAGCAAATTTCTTTTAGCCTCCCTCAACTTTCCAGAACACTTGAGTAATTAATAGCTCATTCCTCCATTATATTGGATATTCACAAAATTTTCTTTAGTTCATCTATTTAAGGATTCTATAGACTTATTTTAACAAAACCGTAGATATTTAGGGTTTAAATATTGATCCGAAGCCACTCCTTATGAATGATGACTCTTGAGTACTAGCTAGTTCACATTGACTTTGATCAGGGTACCTTATAAGTTCTAACTTAAAATGCTTGGTAAATTATCTTATAACTTACATCCATTAATTAAAAAGATAAAGGGAGATTGATGGCGGAATTTATACCGCTACTTTTTCCTATTGTAAATTCATTATAAACCGGAATACATTAATTGTTGTTGTACATAGGCTGCGCTAAACACACCAAATGCGCACAACGTTATCAATAAAAATAAAAAGTAATTAAGGGCATGAGATGATTAGTTTAAAGTATTAACATGCACTAATTCTCCCACTATTCAAAACTTAAGAGTATACATTTAACACTTACTAAGTTTTGGTTTTTAATTGAAAGTTTGTATGACGTTTACAAGGAAAAGTTCGTATGACTTGGTATACTATATGACATATTAATTCGAGATAAAATCACATGCTCACATGGTTAATAACAAATCATTTATTTTTCCAAGTGACTGAACTATATGACAAAAACCTCAAATTTTATCCCACTAGCTATATTATCTTATTTATAGTGGCACTCCCACTTTCTTAATTATGCATGCATCTCCGAGGCGCACCCTTGTTAAGGCAAATATAATTTTTTAAAAATACACGCCTTGTTAAGGTGTATAAATACAAGCTAAAATCATCATAGCAATACACTATCAATCTACGATCTCAAAATAAATCATGGACCACAAAATCTCAATGTATTTGTTTGTGTCTTACCTAGCAATCTTTACTCTTTTCTTCAAAGGCTTTGTCTCCTCGTTTCCTTCGGGATATAACAATGGTTACAATAATGGTCACGGATATGGACTAACTAGCAATCTCAACTATCGATTCTATGACCGGTCTTGTCCTCGTCTTCAGATGATTGTTAAGTCCGGAGTTCGGAGAGCTTTTCAAGATGATTCTAGAATCGCTGCGTCTCTTCTCCGGCTCCATTTCCACGATTGTTTTGTCAATGTAAGCTACGTGACATTTCATTTTTATGTTTACGCATGCATTTATTGATATATAATTATGGATTATATTTGATAATATATATGACTACTCACTATTCACACATATTACTATTCAAACATACTCTATATGTATTAACATTTAAGCCGTGTATATATTATAAAAACTGATCACTCAAATTCTACAAACTTAAAACACTCTTTAGACATACATATACATCACCAATTTTTGTATGTTTTAGTACATAAAACATACATATTAGAGTAGAAGCCACTAGACTAAATCATGGCTTTATATAGGCGTATTAAACTTTTCAATATAATTAGGAAAAAGAAGCTAAGTAATTAAATTGTATGTTGTAGGGATGTGATGGATCTATACTTCTGAACGATTCCGAGGATTTCAAAGGAGAGAAGAACGCTCGGCCAAACCGAAACTCAGTCCGTGGCTTCGAAGTCATTGAAGACATTAAATCTGAAATCGAAAGTTCTTGTCCCTTAACAGTTTCATGCGCTGACATAGTTGCTCTCGCAGCTAGAGAAGCCGTCGTCCTCGTACGTGTGATCTTAAAACCCATAATTATTAATCTGAAATGTGAAAATATTATGATGAGAAAACAAAAACATAATCGATCGGTCCATTACTTATGACTTCTCATGCCATACAGACTGGAGGGCCGTTTTGGCCCGTGCCTTTGGGACGAAGGGACTCATTAACGGCGAGTGAGCAAGCGGCGAATACAAATCTGCCATCTCCGTTTGAGCCGTTGGAAAATATAACGGCCAAGTTCGTGACCCTTGGACTCGACCTCAAGGATGTTGTTGTTCTCTCAGGTTCGGTTAATTCAACTATCAATAAACTAAACAATAAAATCGATTGATTTTTATATCAATAAATTTTACTTATTCTAAAAACAAAAAAAAGGTAGCAAATCGATTATTATAAACAAAATTGAATAAAGTACATCATGATCATTAGGCATATTCATGATCATTTTGAACTTATGCTACTATGTGACTATACATGTATGTAGGAGCACATACTATAGGATTTGCTCAATGTTTCGTGATCAAGCACAGACTCTTCAACTTCAAGGGCTCAGGCCAGCCTGACCCAAACCTAGCCGCTTCCTCAGCACTTCTCTCTAAGCTAAAGGACACGTGTCCTAACGTGGACTCCTCAGATTCTAAGCTCGCTGCTCTTGACGCAGCTAGCTCAGTCAAGTTTGACAATGCTTACTACGTGAACTTAATGAACAACATAGGACTGTTGGATTCCGATCAAACCCTAATGACGGATCCTACGGCTGCCGCCTTGGTGAAGTCGTACAGCGAGAATACGTACTTGTTCTCGAGGGATTTCGCAGTTTCAATGGTTAAAATGGGGAGTATCGGAGTTATGACCGGAAGTGATGGAGTAATTAGAGCAAAATGTGGATTTCCAGGTTAAGTTATATAGACTCCTTTGAACGCGCGTAAACACTAAATCCAAATCAGTCTATAATATATCTAGAAGTAATCTAGCTTTAAAGATGAATCAAATAAACCAAAGTCTATGAATAAATATGTTTTATATATGGTGTAAAAGCGTCCTTATGTATCAATATATGGATCACAGAAACAAAACCACTTGGACTTGTATGTGTTACGTTTGTGTGTAATGGAAAATGTATTTTTTTTTGTATTTTACTAGTATTTTTTATATTCCAATATTAAGTCGAACTCCCTCACTTGAATAAAGATAAAATAGTCTTAGTTATCGATTTGGTTTTATCTAATAATCGATAATTATACATATTTTTTCGAAAAAACACGTTTCTTTGTATCTCGAAGATAAAACATAGATTTTCTTAGGGCATCATCAATGGGGGATCATGTGAGGGTGTTCTTATAGAGAATATAATGTTAAAATAATGTAAGATCATGTGTTTAGATCTTTTGTTTAGAAGTTGATTAGTGGGAGAACATGTGTAAGATCTTAAGACTTAATAATATAATAATCTAAATTAAATTAAGATTTTACAATTATTAAAACATTTAAAAATAACATATAAATTGCAAATGCCAAATTTATGAAAAACTGAAAATAAAAGTGAAAATACAATACTAAATATTTATGAAAAAACATTAAAAATATAAATAACAATAAACAAACAAACATATTACTTAATAAAAGCACAAAAACATTTTATCTAATTAATACATAGTTTATTATCCAAATTTATTCCAAATATGTTGAATATTCCAACCAATGCCCAAATGCCACGTCACCCCGCAACACCCACAAGAACAGATCCAGGTCAAGAGCCCAGTTCCTGATCTTAAGCCCATTAACCCATTTTTTTGGATTTAAATAATGCTTAGATCAGGGGGGGTGATCCCCCAATGCAGATGGTCTTAGAGTAAGCATTGAATGATTGCGTGTATACATAAATTAAATACATCTATCACAACAACCAAACATCTTAGCGTGAAAAAGAAAACATCTTAGAAATAGTTGGAGTCTTAAAAATTGCAATAATTCTTAAATACACTATCTTTTTGTTTTTATTAAGAAAAGAAGATCTTAATTTTTAATGATGAAAATACATAATTGAAAGAGAAATGATGAAAATACAGAGTTGAAAAAGAAATGCTGAAAATACATCCATCAAGCCCAAATACAAACCCCGGCCCATTTCATATATTTCCACTTCAAATTCAGTCTTAATGCATATATATTAATTGACAAATACGTTTCATACATATATACATTTATTTTATTTTATGAAAAAGGAAGGCAAGCTAAGTAAGCATTGGTTTACAACGTTTGGTCCGAGAGAAACAATAGGTTCTTCAATCTTCAATCTGTTCCATCTTCTCAGATGTTCACCGTAATTGACAGACTGATAAGAAACACAATCACAGCTAGAAGACATAGACGGCATTTCAGAAACTTAATGCTATTATGGATTCGTTGAGTGTAGTCTGTTTCTGCACTAAAATCATTTGTTGCCATGTTTTTTCCATTCCTTTTTTTGCCGTGGTAACAAAAGCCTGGGTTAGCTTTTTGTAAAACTCCTTTCATTTTAATGATATTTACAGTTTGGCAAAAAAAAAAAAAAAAAAAAAAAAAGCTAAGTAAGCATTGAATGATGCTATATACTTCAATCAAATCCAAATGGAAGCAACCAACTTTTTAGGTATTGTTTGTTGATTACTGATTGGAAGACAGAGATTTAAAACCATTTAAGTTTCTCCAACGACTTCAAGAGATTTACAAGATGAGAGTTAGTGGAAGAATGAGAAATACATCATATAAGCTAATAAAAAACGTTTTTAATCTATTATACATATAGATTAAATACAAAATAGTAGTTAGGTTACGTACATCATCTGATCATCATGTTAAATTACAAGCAAAACACAAACAGCCGATCGATAGACAAATATAATATAACCCATAAACTAAACATTATCTATTCCATATATGAGATTATATTTTTTCATTAAATATTTAACTAATTATATTTGTAACAATTCGAGGTTTAAGTTTAACTAATAACATTTGTAAAAACACAGTAAACATGTATATATTGTCTAATAATTAATTAACGTTACATGTCCGAGAGAGGACCGCAAATTTCGGGCATACCTCTTGGAACATTTGTCATTGATGTGTTTTCATATAATGTTTGGAGAATTTTCAATTTAATGTCAAGACAATTTTGAATGCTAGTTGAGATGATTCTCAATATTCTGATATCATAAGAAGATGCTGACCAAAATGTTTATCTCTGATGTCATGTGCCTTGCACAATTTCAAACCAACCTACTCCTCTTTCTATATGTGGAGCCAAGTTTGACAATCTTATCTGATGGTACCATACTAGTTCTCGCAAGGAATTCCAAAGAGCAACGTCAACACATGGTTGGTGTTTCGCGACAAACTAGCTCAAGTGATTAAATGTGTAGTTAGAGTCACACGATCAAACTTGTCTTCTAATTTGCGAAGAACTAAACGAGACATGAGATATATATTCTTTGCATGTCCATACACTTTCACAAATTGGTCTACAATCGCCACACTATATATACTCATGCGACCTCTCTCAATACAAAATCATTAATAAATCTCATGATAAATTGTAGGAGTATTTCTACAAGGTTACATGTAGTTAATTATCCTTAATTGTACCCACCAACTGTCAACTATACATACTCTATTTTTTACAGTAGCTATATTTTTCTTTATTTAAAGGCTCTGTTACTTCATTAAATTCAATATGTACACAAACTTCTACAAAAAAAAAATTGATCTCACAACCGTTGAAAAAAAATGACCTCATTTAAAATAATAAACAAAAAGAAAATATGGGACATGAATGACAAACATAACAGATCGGAAATATTTTTTAAAAATAGCAATAAATTAAGGTCATTAATACGTGGCCGAAAGCAACTAATTTACTAACCAATGCACACATCTACTTGCTTCGTCTTCTTCTTCTTCTACCACCATTTTCAGATTCAAAATTCAATTCTAACAGTTTCACTTCCTCTGCTTCTCTTTCTCATGTGATCTCTCTCTCTCTTTCTTCTCTAAAAACCAGAACTTCGATGGCATTACTGTGATTATTCTCTTAAAGTAATCTCCTTTTTCGCCGGAGATTATGGGAGGCTGTACCTCCAAACCCTCCTCCTCCTCCGGCAGACCTAACCCTTTCGCTCCCGGCAATGACTACCCTCAAATTGACGATTTTGCCCCTGACCATCCCGGTAAATCACCACTTCCTACCCCTTCCGCCGCAAAGGCCTCTCCTTTCTTCCCTTTTTACACGCCGAGCCCTGCTCGCCACCGCCGTAATAAGAGCCGCGACGTCGGCGGAGGAGGAGGAGAGAGCAAGAGCTTGACTAGCACGCCGCTCCGTCAATTACGCCGTGCGTTTCATCCTCCGTCTCCGGCGAAACACATACGGGCGGCGCTACGGCGGAGGAAGGGGAAAAAGGAAGCTGCTTTATCGGCGGCGACGCAGCTAACGACGGAGATCCCGCCGCGGGAGGAGGAAGAGGAATTGGGGCTTGACAAAAGATTTGGTTTTTCTAAAGAGTTTCACAGTAGAGTAGAGTTAGGGGAAGAGATTGGACGAGGGCATTTTGGGTACACTTGCTCTGCTAGATTCAAGAAAGGAGAGCTCAAAGGTCAAGTGGTTGCTGTTAAAATCATCCCAAAATCTAAGGTACAAGAGATAAACTTGAAATTTTACTCTTTTGAAATCACATCTTGATGATTGCATACTCCATTGTAGTGTTAGTTGAGAGAATAGAATGTATTGATTCTTTTGTGGCAGATGACAACTGCAATTGCTATAGAAGATGTGAGAAGGGAAGTGAAAATTCTACAGGCTTTATCTGGACATAAGAATCTGGTACAATTCTATGATGCATTTGAGGACAATGCAAATGTCTACATTGCGATGGAGTAAGATACATTTATGTTAAATCGTAACATTTCATCATCTTTGGAATTCCTTGTTTGATGTTGAATTTAGTTACGCTTTAGTTATGAATTTGGTAAAAAGAACCTATTGTTGCATTATGGGATTTAATTAGTTTGAATGTGCAGGCTATGTGAAGGTGGTGAACTTCTGGACAGAATACTAGCAAGGTGTGTGTGCTACTAAAGAGTTATCGATACTTATGGCCAAAGATTGTTCTGATTTTACTAAAAGATTCATCTTTGGTTTTTTATAGGGGAGGGAAATACTCAGAGAATGAAGCAAAACCGGTGATTATACAAATCCTGAATGTGGTAGCTTTCTGTCATCTCCAAGGAGTTGTTCATCGAGACCTTAAACCAGAGGTGAGGCACAATTTTTTTGAACTGGAATGAAGATTATCTTTTACTTTACATGCGGAATGTTTTTTGATTGCTGCTTCATCATCAGAACTTCTTGTACACTTCCAAGGAGGAGAATTCTCAGCTTAAAGCGATAGACTTTGGCTTATCAGACTTCGTCAGACCAGGTTCATCATCACATATTTTACTATGTCACTATTTCTTTAATTCTTTTTCTTCTGGTTACTAATTTAAAACATTGTTGTCTGCCCTTTATTTTGAAAGATGAAAGACTCAACGATATAGTAGGAAGTGCGTACTACGTAGCTCCTGAAGTTCTACACAGATCATATACAACAGAAGCGGATGTGTGGAGCATCGGAGTCATAGCATACATTCTACTATGTGGTAGCCGTCCTTTTTGGGCAAGAACTGAATCCGGAATTTTCAGAGCGGTTCTTAAAGCTGACCCGAGTTTCGATGAACCTCCTTGGCCCTTCTTGTCTTCTGACGCTAAAGACTTTGTTAAGCGGTTATTGTTTAAGGATCCCCGGAGAAGAATGTCAGCCTCCCAAGCCTTGAGTCAGTAACTTTTAATTTCACAGCTCTTTATAGTTTTATGTCCTCTGTCTATTAGTAGTCATAAATCACCAAATCCAGTTCCTATTTACTTTTTCAGTGCATCCTTGGATCCGAGGTTATAATACGGACATGAATATCCCTTTCGATATCTTGATCTTTAGGCAGATGAAGGCGTACTTGCGATCTTCTTCATTACGCAAAGCTGCTTTGAGGGTATGTTTTAGGCACTTTTTTTTAGTGCCGAAAAGAACATTGAAAATTACTTTCTCACTATTATGTGCTTTCTTTTCACAGGCGCTGTCCAAGACGTTAATCAAGGATGAAATTCTTTACCTGAAAACTCAATTTTCTCTTCTCGCACCAAACAAAGATGGCCTAATCACAATGGATACCATTAGATTGGTTTGTGACACTAAAACTTCTCTTATTTTCCTTCCTCTTAAGACAAAAAGAAACAACGTACTAATCTAATCCCGTTGCATTTGTTTAAACAGGCACTTGCAAGCAATGCAACAGAAGCAATGAAAGAATCTCGGATCCCAGAGTTTCTTGCTTTGGTAAATGACTGTGTTATCTCGGATTTTGATAAATCTTTTAACAATTTGGTGTTAATGCCCCTTCATTGACTGGCTTTTACAGCTAAATGGACTTCAATACAGAGGAATGGATTTCGAAGAGTTTTGTGCAGCTGCTATAAACGTTCATCAGCACGAGTCGCTTGATTGTTGGGAACAGAGCATTCGACATGCTTATGAGCTTTTCGACAAGAATGGAAACCGAGCTATTGTCATTGAAGAACTTGCCTCTGTAAGTTAAGCGTTTGTCTTCAGCTTAATACAACAATGTCAAAAAACAAAAGACAGATCCTCTAAAACGACATGTTTATGAGTTGCAGGAACTTGGTGTTGGACCATCTATACCCGTACATTCGGTTCTACATGATTGGATCAGACACACTGATGGGAAACTAAGCTTCTTCGGGTTTGTTAAACTGTTACATGGAGTCTCTGTTCGACCCTCGGCGAAAAGTACACGGTGAAGATAACGGAAGAAACATGACCAAAGCGAAATCGAGAAAAGAGAATGTCAAAAACTTTACTCTGATTCTTGGATTGGAATTGGAAATGTAATAGTAAGTAAAGACTGTACAAGAAATGGAAAGTTTCTTACAAGAGCAATGCTAAGAAAAACTGTTGTAATAATATAGTAACAACAACCACAGTGACTTTCATACTCTTATCTGAAGTCAAGAGAAAGAAAAATATTTCCAAAAAGATTTAATTTTGTCTCTCTTTTCGTTCCCAGTGATCCCATTATTATAAGCAAATAACAGGCTTCAAGGTTCTTCGTGAGGAAAAATTTGGTTATTTCCGGTTTGCAACTGTACTTTAATTTGTGAGATTTGAGTCGGTGTAACCAATGCAAACCGGTTCGAGTGATAAAAATTGGTTTTTCCCCAAATTTATATTTTCTTCTTCTCTCTGAGTTTAAGGAATTAGGGTTTCTTGTAATCTCTCTCTCTCTCTTTCTCTCGAGAATTTTTTCTCAGTTTGGTTCTTGATTCTGATAAAAAGTTGATCTTTATAGCTCCGGTAACTTCGTTTTGTGGGTTTAAGCTTCGATTCAATCTTCATCGACAGCCATGACTGAGGTAAATCATAATTCGCATCTTTTTCCTCCATATCTCTTTGAATTACGAAACTCTTTGACAAAAACTGTTCAAATCATCGGTCTTTTTCGAAACCCTTGTTTGTCTCTAGGTGTCTTGTTTCGTATTGAAATTGATCTTGAGTTTTTTTTTTTTTTTTTTTGGTTCTTTCAGTATTGGGTAAGTCAAGGAAACAAATGGTGCGAATTCTGTAAGATCTGGATACAGAACAATCCAACAAGTATTAGAAACCATGACCTTGGTAAGCGTCACCGAGAATGTGTCGATAAGAAGCTCACTGATATGCGTGAGAAGAGTGCAGCCAAAGACAAAGAGCTCAAGAAAAACGAAAAACTGCTTCAACAGATCGAAGCTGTGAGTAGTCATCATTCTTGCTTCTTGTTTCTTGTTTCTTTGCCAATGATTTTATGTAACGTTTTTATTTCTGAGTCCATTTGTTTTTTCAACTTGTTTCAGAAAGCAACTCGTAGCTATCAGAAAGATATAGCAACTGCTCAACAAGTAGCTAAAGCAAACGGTGCACCAGAGGATGGTACATCTGGTAAGTACCTCTCTCTATCATTATCTGGTTTCATTAGCAGTAAGTTTGTTGTATGACACAGCTGTTATATTCAGGGTTGTTGCTTAGCTTTGGATCTGTTTGTTATAGACTAATATATATACTGAGGTCGTAAAGCAAAATCAGCTGGCTATTCTTAAAATGATTGTGTGAATTGCTTTCATTGACCAAAAGTATGAACAAACCAAGCAGCGTCTGATTCTTCCATTGTCATTCTTACCCATCTTTGCAAATTACTTATAAGTTTTAATGCCTATAACTCTATAGAGAATCATCACCAAAGAGCGAAACGGTTGCTTCTTTTGAGTCACTCTCAGGTTCTTTCATCATTTTGATTGGCATATTTCTTAGCCTTTTTCATTCATAGATATGTTTCGTTTGTTTCATGTACTAATGATATAATCTTGGCAGGTTGGGTGCTTGACAGTGCTTCGGGCTATTATTATAACCAGACTAATGGTCTGCACTATGATTCACAGTCTGGATTCTATTACAGTGACTCCATAGGTATGTCATAATCAAGCTTTTTCACTTGCTTTAAAACATTATTGTATACAATCTCTTTGTGTGTGCTTACACGGGTTATGAAACAGGACATTGGGTGACACAAGACGAGGCATACGCTGCGGTTAAAACTTCATCAGGAACTAAAGTACCTCTCGTTAAAAAGCCTGTACTTTCTTCAGAAGCTGGACCAAGTGTGGTGAAACCACCTGGTCGTCTTGTCACGGCTTCTTTAAACCCTAAAAGGGCTGTTAAAGGAGCTCCGTCATCTGTTGATCTTGGCAACAACAAGAGAAAGAGACAAGATGAGAAACCTAAGAAAGTTTCTGCAGAAGAGAAAGCTGCATTGAAGGCGAGAGAAGCTGCTAGGAAACGAGTTGAAGATAGAGAAAAACCATTGCTTGGTCTTTACAATAGACCCTTCTGATGCATCATTGGCTTGATTCTCTCTGTAAAGGGAGAGGCTAAACAAAGAATAGTGATGACTGATGATTGATCTCATTGTGGCAGTTATTTCAGTTATTCCTACATGACTGTTTATTCCAAAACTCTCTGGTATTTCTGGGGGCATTGGTCTTGTGTTCTTCTAACTGTTGTTCAAGTCATATCAGTTTCTTATTTGTTGTACACCTTTTATAGTCAAAGAGTGATGGAAGGCCCCACATTTTACCGGAATTTTGATGAAAGATATGAAGTCTTGGGACATCTTCACAAAACAGGGACTTTTTTTTCTCTCTTGAAAACGCCTTTAAACATGTAAGAAGTTTGTCTTAACAAAAGTTCTGTTATTTTGAGAAAATTAGGTTCTTTTGGTGTATTCTTCTTAAGTTATTTGGTTTCATGAATCAGTTTCTAAAATTATGCATGAACTTTTTAAAAAGATGAGAATAAATCGAAACCAAACACTACTCTCAAAGGTAAAACTATCAAAGCATTGCAAACTAATAAATGATCCAAACGATTTGGGAAAATTACTTATTGTGGACCAAACTCTGACTTTGAGGAAGTCTCAGTAACAAGGACAAATAAACTTTAAAAAACTGAAAATAAAAATTCAAGTATCAGACAACCCCAAAATTTTGACAGAGACTGAGACAGCAAGATAAGCAAGATTCAAATCCAGGATACAAAACCCTCTTTGGACACTAGAGGTTTTAGTTTCGATGGTGCGAGCTAACCTCTGAACCAACAACTATCATTGGATGGATCACTTTGATCACCCAATGGTTTGTTTTTATCCCAATGCCCGTAAGTCCAGGACTCACGGGTTTTCTGATGATAGAGACATACCAACACTTTCAAGAAGCTCCCGGGACAGCAGCCGCTGCAGTAGCGTACATGTTTGAGTCCTGATTAGCATATCCGTTGTTGTAACCTTGACCTCTTGAATATCCTCCATTCCATTGGTTGCCAGAGTCACTTCTCCACTGCAGAAGTTGAACAATATTAGTGAATAGAATAACATACGGCAGATAATCACGGTTAAAAGCTACCGAGTTGGTAAGTCATCCATGCCACAGACTTGATGAGTACTTGAGTAGAGCAAACGTTAACTTTAAGTGTTGGGCAGTAAGAGACTAGGACATTCTTGTCGAGATTAAGTTAACTAGTCCACTAATAGAGACTTAAGACAAACATGAAACTAAGACAACCTCTAAAGATAAACGATAACATTGATACATGCTTCACCTAGCTCATGAATCTTGATAGCAGTAAATTTTCCCAATCCTAAGAAACATAGAACCATTACAATTATTTCTGAGATTGGATAATGTTCAGGGAGATGACAAGTGGGCCAAGGAGACAAGCATTATATTTGCCAATCAAAATAGTCAACGAAAACCGTGGGAAAGTGCTATATTCCACTAGGTCTTTATGGCCCGCAATACACCTACTACTATCCATTGTCAACCACTGACTTTGGCTTTTAGGATTTCTATAACTTTATCCACCCCATGAAGACAGAAATATAAAGACCCAAAAGAACTCTAAAACTAAGTTTGACTACTGCTGGACCATACTAATAAAAATGCATATATAGTTCCATCAATATAGAACACACAAATCCAACTTAATCTTTCTTGTACCTGTTTGTTGGGGCTTCGTCCCCACGAAAGGCGGACAGTGTTTTTCCCAATGACTGTCCCGTTCAAGTTCCCAATGGCTTCTTCAGCACTCTGCCTGTCAAAACCAAGGGGACGTCACACATTGCAACTACCTTACCCATCTTCACTGTTAAAATAAGCACTACTGGATGTTTAAGCTGACAAGCAAAGAACAGGTTAGTACCTATTAGCAAATTGGACAAAGCCACATCCTTTTCCTACTGGGATCTTCACTGAAACAACTTCCCCAAACTGGGAAAAAGGTTGCATGAGGTCTTCCTCAGTAACATCAGCATCAAGGCCACCAACAAATATCTGCAATGTAATAAAAGACAATGAGCAGTGAGCTATACTGTTCTTAACAGAGGAAAAGCTAAAAGAGAACTCACTGTTGAGTTATTTGATTCTCCATCAGACAGTGAACCATTTCCTCCATGTCCACCAGCCAGTGTCAGAGCTAATCCAATGAAAACAATACAATTCACTTCAGATACTATGTTGAAAGCATCAAAACAAGTTACTTATTACAAATAACTACTAAAAGTGACATAAACAGAAAATAAAACCACTTGCATTCACTAAACAGAGAGAAACATGGAAATAAAAACAAAAAAAATGAAACAAATTAAAAATTTATATTCATAACTACTAAAAGTGACATAAACAGAAAATAAAACCACTTGCATTCACTAAACAGAGAGAAAACATGGAAATAAAAACATATGCTACTAAAACAAAAAAAAGAATAATTAACTAAAACTTATGCAACATTAAGTCACAAAGATTATATCATCACTTACCTTGTGAACCATTTTGTTGGCCGTAAGCAGCAGCTCTCTTCGGGGTTGCGATACCAACACGCATTTGCCTGCTTGAACAGAAAGCACCATTCATTTCTGTCATAGCCCTTGATCGTTCATTCTCATCACCAAACCTGACAAACCCATAACCTTTGGAACGCCCGGTGTTGGAATCGATCACAACTTTAGCACCTTTGACAGATGGATATCTACCAGCAAAAGTCTCAAGCAAGACAGCATCACTCACATCTGGAGCCAAATCTCCTACAAATATTGATAGGTCAGGACCATTCTCTGATGCTCTTTTCTCACCAGTACTGAAAGATGCCCAGTTTAAACGGAAAGGCTGTTCCGCATTCGGCATTGTTACACCGCTAAAGCTCTGAAGAGCTTCCTCAGCAGCTGAACGTGAAAGAAACTCAACAAACCCATATCCTTCAGATTGACAAGTTTGCTTGTTGCGTATAACTTTCACAGAAGAAACCTACACATCACAAAACAACAAAACCAGAAAGAATAAGCTAAAAGGGGAAAAAAAACACAAATTTATGATAAAACAGAACAGATCTCGTGACATGTTTGGAGTTCTTTTTGTTCCTATAACCAGAAAGGTTTTCTAAACGTGGCAATGTACTTTTCTTGCCTTATGAAATGAACTTTAAAAGTCTGTCCTTTTTCAGGTCAACATAGTTCTCCATTACCCTAAATGTCAACCATTTTGTCTTCTACACAATTTAGATCTTAAACCCAATCAAGAAGTTCAAAAGTTGCCAAATTTTACATCGAATTCACAATAACGAATCTTTCCAATAACCGAAAAAAAGTCACGGATCTATAAACTATTGATACATCAATCACTTTCCATGTCAGAACACAAAAAACAAAAGATTCCACTAACTAAAACATCATAATTTAAAGATCTGAATTACAAATATCAAATCAAGAATCATTACAACAACAAAGAACAAGAAGATAGAGTTACCTCATTGGTGTGAGAGAAACAGGTATGGAGATAAGTCTCATCCATCCAATGAAGAAGATCACCAACCCAAAGAGTCTTCACATCATCACCACCAGATCCACCACGTGGCTGCTGTTTCTGCTGCTGACTCTGGTGATGCTGTTGTTGCTGTTGATAAGCAGCAGCGTATTGAAACTGAGGATGCTGTTGATAAGCAGCTTGATTATAAGGAGCGTATTGATGGTGAGGATACATCATCATCTGTTGTTGTTGCATCATAGCCATAGCAGCTGCAGGGTATTGCTGCATCGCAGCCATCCATTGTTGTTGTTGTTGCCACTGTTGTTGTTGCTGTTGCTGAGGTGGTGGTGTTGATTGCTGCAACGGTGGTGGTGGTGTTGTTCCGGCTGATGTTGGTGGTAACACTGAATCTGTTGAACCGTTGTTGTTTGGTGTCTGCATCTTTTTAAAGTATGAAACTTTCCGATCCGATCTGGTTACAAGAGTTTGAAATTTAGAATCTTTCTGGCTTCTGTCTCTCTCTCTCTCGATATGTATTGGAAAGGGTTTGTTTTGGTAATAGAGGAGACCGAGAGAGAGAGGATTAGATTTGGTTTTTTGGTTTCTTTGGAGGATAGAATGGAGGCGGAGAGAGAGAGAAGAGAGTGTGTTGTGTAGATTCGGAGGGTTTAAGGCTTTTTTTCTTTGGTTTCACATTTAGGTCTGAGAGAGAAGTGGTGGGAACGTGGGGCCCAGTTACGTAAGTGAAGCCATGTTGTGTACTTTTTTTTTTTTCGTAGTTTGTAGATCCGACGGTTCTGATTCGACCGTATTTTTAGGGGTTGACATCAACTTTTGACAGTTGATGAATGATTTAAGTTCCCAAATCGGGTAAATTAAAATTTGGGTTTTTTGTTTGTTTTGGGATTATAAATGGATATTGAAACCAATGTAGACATATGATTATATGATGATGAGACTTTTAGCTAGTGAATCCATATGTTTCAATGCATTGTAGTCTATGGAGAGGGGGGACTTGTCACTTGTGACATAAACTGTTTTTTTCATTAATACAATTTGTGATTGGTGTTATGATGATGCTTAAATGCAGAAGAAATCAATGGTGAAAAGATGTGAAGCCGTGAAAACTATAAATATTTTTGTGATAGTTTGGGGAGTTGGCTAGAAACATATTGATGCAATCTTTGTCAGATCAATTTTGAAGCTTCGTAGTTTGTTGGAACAACAATACAACATATCCGAGAAAGGAAAATAAGACGCGTTAAAACGCATTCTTTGTTGTCTCTGAACAACGTTTAAAAACAATAGTAAATGGAAGAGGTTTTGAAGAATTGCTTGAGATGGTTCCAATGCTTTCTCAAAACAACAATGTCTTCATTGAGCTTAGCTCAACGCCAAGCCGATATAGAGCTAAACTCAATGGAGACATTGTTGTTTTGAGAAAGCATTGGAACCATCTCAAGCAATTCTTCAAAATCTCTTCCATCAAGATAACTTTCCAACCTTACGACCATTTTCTCTAATGCCTTTGTGATTTTAATCATAAGTTCCATGAACGAAGCCACATGCTTTGACTCTACATTCCAATGGAAAACATTTCCAAAGATCCAGCAGTGATTCAGATTCAAGCCACACAAGTAGTTGCTAACATCCTTATCCTGTACAACAGAACATATTTTCATTAATGAAAAAAAATGGATTGTCAATATCTCAGATTACTGCTACAAACTCAAAGTGAAAGGACATGGTTGTAGCTTATTCAAGATTGGCAAAATAGTGAAAGAAATATACATACAGGTATGGTGTCCGTCTCAATATCCATTGTGTGTAGGGTTAGCTTCTTTAATTCAAGTGAGTTTCGTAGCAACCTTAATATACCAGGAATAACATATTGAGAGATCATTGTCTCAAGAGTCAAAGCTTTCGCCTTGAACATCGGAAAAGGAACACCGCGGACCTCGGCAAGAGATAAAATCTAACAAAAAGCACATACAATTAGTTAAAACCAAAAAAACAAATCTCAAAAAGAAAAATGACACTTGAAAACATACCTTAAGAAAGTTTTCCCCAAAAGTAAGCTTGTCTACGTTCTGTAACTTGTCAAGTATCTTAAGCACCATGTCTTGAAGAAAATCAACATTCATGTCTTCAAGTTCGGAAAAGCAAATGTCTAGTTTAGCTTCGGTTAAAGACGAGACATCAACAAAAGTACATGATAACTGATAGTTTTTCAATGTGAGAGTGAGACAATGGATATGCGGTGCCACAATGTGCGTTGGCCCAGAATCCCAAATGTTAAGATGGATTATCAATATTTTCAAATTCGGTGATTTGGTGAGATCAAGAACCATCAGTTCATCACAGGAATACAATGTTAAGCTTTCAAGAATCGGACAACCAGAAAGAATCTTAGCAAAGGATTCATCAGAGAGATTGCAACAACGCAAATAAAGCTTCTTGAGAGATTTCCAAGAAACAGAGCATCTGGGAATCAATTCAGAAAATTTTGTCTCAATGCGGAGTTGCTTGACAGAGGAGTTGATGTAGACGGAATCAGGAAATTCATACTTAAGGTAACCGAAATCCAGAAACAGATTCTCCACGTTTCGGGACATGGCGAACTCAATCCATTCATTGTAAGGAAGATTGACTACAGATGTGGCACAGAGCTGAAAAGTCATAATCTTGCGAGCCTTGTAGAGAGCTAGGGTTTTGTCTATAGAATCAGCATCTACTTTATAGAAATCATCGAAGTGGAGAGAAGGTGTTTCGGACCAAACATGCCTCCATCGTTTGGACAAGATGGAAGTTCTTATGGCGTATTTGGTCGGAATTAAGGAGAGAATTTGTTGGAGGATCACATCAGGCAAAGAGCTTATCGTGTCTAAATCTTCGGAGCGGTGGTTGAGGACTCTTACGGAGGCGGAGGCACCGTCTCTGTTTTCGCCGTGGTCCGCCATCGTAATTTTGTTTATGAGACACGTGTTGATTTCACAACCTCCGTACACTCAACTTCCGATGAATTTTAGATCATCGGCGAAAATAGCTATGTCCGAGCAATCATCTGTACTAGTATTTTTGCAACACTTTGGTGAAGGATGGGTAAAAATACTTCTGGGTTAATCAGATATCCGACCCGTTTTTAAAATTCCTTCACAAAAAATTTGTTGGGTCGTGTTATATTTAACCCAACTCATACACCGGATATTTCATATTTAATAATTTAGATATTTAGAAGATTTGATTAAGATTTAGAATTATGATTCTCCTATCATCTTTGTTTGATTTGTTTTTAACTGTTTTGAATCATCATATAATACATAAAGTAAAAAAAAATCAATTTTCTTTCTGCATATACTGTGATTCGAAATTTTAAAAACGGACATATATTATCCAATTGACGAAAATGTGTGTTCAACGTTCTAAATCGATTAAAATATTTAGACAATGATTCAGAATCATATCATAAATAAGATCAACATTAATAAAATAAATAAGTTTTTTTGGCCGGACGGGTTTTTGAATCAACAATAAAAAAAAAGATTAAAATATCATTAATCCGCCGCTTCAATACGGATTAAATTCTTTTTTTTTAATACCACCAATATTAGACATATTAAATCAGTCTCATTTAGAAAAGATTGTATAAAACCAAAAATTATCCCGTGGTATAATGTTACTTAATAAAAATATTTATAAAATTTTAAAATATCATTAACATGCCGCTTTAATACATATTAAATCTTCAGTTTATTAAAATATAAATGTCTTAGAGAATGATATAATTTGTAAACTTTTTTATATAATAAATAATAATTAAATTTTAAAATAAAAACAAATCACGGGACGAGTTAAGAAATTACGGAACGAGTTATATTTCGCAAAGGATTTATATGGTGGACGAATTTGAATCAATATTTATATACCGCTTTTAATACGGGTTAAATCCTCTATTTATTAATAATTGTCTCGTGGACTCGTGGTATACCGTTACTTAATAACAATTGTAAATTATAATATAAATAAATATGTTATAACGAGATACAATTTACAAAATATTTTTATACTAACTTTAAAATTAAATCATCATGCGGTGTACCGTGGGTTAAAATCTAGTTTGTATAAGTAAATTCATAAGTCTTTGTAATTTGTTGTTAAAAAAAAAAAGTCTTTGTAATCTTTTTGTTAAAAGAGTCTTTTTCTAACTATTAAAATTTCAAGTTCATAACTTCAAAATTTATAATATTCAAAACACTAATTTATTTAGATAAAAGGGAGACTCACAAAAATGCCCCTTTTTCAATACTCCTTTTCAAAAATGCCCCCTTTGGCTGTCTATTTTTAAAAATACCCATTTTTATGTACAAAATGACTAAATTGCCCTTCTTTTAATAAAAGATATCACAAATATATAAGGAAATATAACAAAATTAGGTCCACAAAATACAAAATATTTTTTGGCGGGAAAAGTGATCCCGCAATTTTTCCCGCCAAAACACTTGTAAAAACTTGTAAAACCTTTAAAATACCTTGTAAAATTTTCCCGTAAAATTTTTTCCCGCCAAAACATTTTTTTTGCGGGAAAAGTGATTCCGCAATTTTTTGGCGGGAAAAATTTACAAGGTATTTTAAAGGTTTTTTACAGGGTATTTATAAGGTTTTACAATGTATTTTAAAAGGTTTTACAACGTATTTATAAGGTATTTATAAGATATTATAAGATTTTACAAGCTATTTTATAAGGTTTTACAAGTTATAAGGTTTTACAAGTTTCTTATAAGGTTTTACAAGTTATAAATACCTTATAAAACCTTATAAGTACCTTGTAAAACCTTTTAAAATACATTGTAAAACCTTACAAAACACTTGTAAATACTCTGTAAAACCTTTAAAATACTTTGTAAATTTTTCCCGCCAAAAAAATTTCGCCAAAAAATTTCGGAATCACTTTTACCGCAAAAAAAAAATTTTGGCGGGAAAATTTTACAAGGTATTTTAAAGGTTTTTACAAGTGTTTTGGCGGGAAAATTACGGGATCACTTTTCCCGCCAAAAAATATTTTGTATTTTGTGGACCTAATTTTGTTTCAAATAAGGGTAAAATGGTCATTAAAAATTAAAAGAGGGCAAACTTAAAAATGGACTCTCAAAGGGGGCATTTTTGAAAAGGGGTATTGAAAAAGGCGCATTTTTAACAATTTCTCTAGATAAAATTGTATCAATTCATTTTTTCTAAAATTTTAAAAATTAAAATAAATCTTTATAAATTAATATTTATTAATATTAATAATTTAATATCACTATAAATTAATAAAATACTATAATCTCAACATTGTTAATTTATAGAAGTTTTACTATGGTGAAGATGACATAGAATATCACATAAATAAATATTCAGGGATACTCTGACTCAACTAAGGTTATCAAAATAATGTAATGACATTCATTGTAAGCTATATATAGCCTATATAAAACTATTGGAAAATTTCCCAAAAAAAACCCCAACTATTTAATAATTGCCCGAAAAAAACCTGAACTTTTTTAGATGCCGGAAAAAAAACCCCAACTAATTTACCGCTGACAAAAAAAAACTTAAGTTATTTAATTTTGCCAGCAAAATACCTGAATTATTTTTTTATTGCCAGAAAAATACACAGATCAATATTTTTCTCTTTTTCTTTTATTTCATTAACAATGTAAGGTGGTTAGACCTCATAACTTTATGTGTTCTCTTGAACCTCATACAAATTCTCACTACTATTAAATTAATCGATTTTTCAATTTTCCAATTAGAACAAAACTCACAATTACATTAGTTGATTCCCCAACTTTTTAACTAAAACAAAAAAAAAACACAATTAGATTAGTCATTTTTTAGCGTTGAGTAGGTTTGATTAAGCTAGCTTTACCTTCAATTTTGGTGGATTTTGCTTGATTGGAGTATTTTTTTTGCGATTTATGTAGAGAATTTTTGAAGATCTACCAAGGTTTTTGGGGCTCTTATGAAATTTAGAGTTCCATTGTTGATGATGTCCCAAAATTTGTAAAGTCTGAATAGATCCAAAAACAAATCTAATTGAGAAATTTGAAAATCGACTAATCTATTTGTATATTTTTGTTCTTAAATTTAATTGTCCTAAGTAATAGTGAAAACTGAAAACTTTTATGAGGTTCAAGAGAACACATAAAAGTTATTAGCTCTCACCATCTTACATTGTTGATGGAAGATAAAAAGAAAAGAAAAATGTTGATCTATGTATTTTTCTGGCAACGAACAAATAATTCGGGTAGTTTTCTGGCAAACTTAAATAACTTAGATTTTTTTCAAGAATTTTCCCAAAAAATAGTAACGGCTTCAACGACGGCGTTAACGTCCGTAACGGAGACGATAGGAAATTGGAAAAACAAAATAGTTCGTGTTTTTTTTGTCAGCGGTAAATTAGTTGGGGTTTTTTCCGGCATCGAAAAAAGTTCAGGTTTTTTTCTGGCAAATATTAAATAGTTGAGGTTTTTTTTGGGAATTTTCCCTAAAACTATTTGTTTAAGAAAAAGTTTATCAATTAATATTGCTAGATTAAGATTTTACTTAACTATCTATTTCGTCATATTAGTTTAAAATTATAACTTAAAATTAATTCAAAAGAATTATTCCAATGAATGTCATGTTTCATTCCTAATAATTGACTCAGAAAAAAAAAACAAAATAATGAAAAAAAATTCATCTACTATTTTTTTGAAAAATGAGACTAGGTAATAGTCCGTTCCATAGACCATATACCGATGAATCTTAATCTATTTAAATTTTTTTTAACAGCTACTATCATTGATTAATGAGAACAGTGATCCTCATGGAGGATGTTTACAAGCCAATTAGGTACATAATAGAAAGATTCAAAACGTAATTGTCCCTGGAAATGTTCTTTCGCAAGACGATCCGCAGCTTTATTATTATGTCTTCTTGTCCACTGGAACTCTGCATATGGAAATTTTGTCTTCCAGAAATTGGCTTCACGTATCCAATTGTGCACTTTGAAATTAAGCTTTTCACCATTGACAAGTTTTGTGACTGAGTTGTTATCTCCTTCGAAAATAATGTGTTTAAAACCTTTTACCCATGCTTGCTGCATCGCAATGATCAGGCCTTGTATTTCTGCTTCCAAAGTCGTAGAGCACCTTTCTCCTATGCTATGACCTGCGTGTAAGAAGAAACCATCTGAATCTCGAATTATCCAAGCTGCTTGCGAGGGTTCACCATTCTGAAAAAATTTGCAGTCGTAGTTGTACTTGACATATCCTTCTTTTGGCTTTGACCAAGATGAAGTTGGGGAGCTGATCTGACTCGGTCGTGTGGTTGTTGCATTTGTTTCTACCGACCAGCAATCTACCCATTCTTTAGCTTCAATTTCTGCCTTTATTATATCCTCTTGCCAATTACTCTCCTTTTTTTGGTATACTAGTTGGTTTCTACTTTTCCAAATCCTCCATAGTGTCCATATAGGTAATTGCCTCTTAATCTATTTAATTTTATATAAAGTTTTACTAAGAGAAAACAAAATTATTTTTAAATTTATTTAAAATGTTCACTACAATTCAAAAGTACATAATGGTTGTATTTAGTTTTATAATATGATTTCAAATACAACACAGATATTAAAACATAGTGTCTTCCAAATCACCGGATCTTCCAGTCGAATTGGTGTAATCGTTGTGGGTTGATACTAGGCCTCGGCAAAAAAAACCGGACCCGATACCCGGACCGAAAAACCGGGTTGGGGCGAGTTAGGGTATTGGGATATTACCTCATTGGGTAGAGTTTTGGTCTACCCGTGGGTATCGGTTCGGGTCGGGGAATACCCGTTACCCATTTAGGGTACCCATAAACCCGAAGCTTTTAGACATGTGTTTATTTATGTATATAGATAATGTATATAGTTATATAGTCATATAGCCATAGCTTTTGAGTTTTGACGATTGAGTTTCCTAATTTCCTTCTAGAATCCCTATTCCCT